AATCCCACCCCATGCCCAAGGGCATTGTCCAAACATTCCTGGAGCTCTGGCAGCCTTGGGGCTGTGACCATTCCCTGGAGAGCCTGTTCAGAGCCCCACCATCCTCTGGGGAAGGGCTTTTCCTGAGATCCAGCTTGACCCTCCACTGGCACAGCTCCAGCCATTGCCTGGGTCCTGTCCCTGGTCCCCAGAGCAGAGATTGGAGCTGTCCCTTGGGATGAAGCTGCAGCCCCTGAGGAGTCTCACCTCAGTTTCATTTTCCCCAGCCAGACAAAACAAATGACCTCAGCTGCTCCTCATGAGGGCCCTCCAGACCCTTCACCACCATCGTCACAATCCTCATCCCATTTCCCATTTTCCTTTCTGGGATTCAGGTTTGGATCCTGGAGCAGCAGAAGAAGGTTCTGGAGACCAAGTGGAGCTTCCTGCAGAGTCACAGAGCAGCAGCAAGGCCGTGCTCACGGCGTTTATCTGGAATTTGAGGGAGAAACTGGGAGCCCTCAGCAGCAGCAGAGCCCAGTTACAAACAGGCCTGGGAGCAGCAAAGCAGGGTTGGGAAACCAACGGAAAAATGTGAGTAAAAACCAGAAAAATGCAACTTCAGAGCTCAAAATGTTGCTTGAAATTTGTGAACAGGCAGAAAAACTGGACTTTTTGGGGTAGCAAATGGTTCCCAGAAAACTCGTAGGTGAAGATTAAATAGATTGTCCTCCAGTAGATCCCCATGGTGGAGGTGAAGAAGATGGAAAGATCTCAGTACAGAAAATAACATCCACATTTACAGACACATGGACGAAGCAGAATATCCTGCTTCCACATTTTCTTTCCCTCCTTCCTGACTCAGAAATTCAGATTTCCAAGTGTTCAGCAGCTATTTAAGGTCACACAAAAGCAGTTCTGCAGCAGAAACCTCTCTGAAAACACATTTGTTTTCCCACAGGCTACAAAACAAGAGTAAGGTATCCCAAAACACTGTCTGGGGAGAGGGAAAGAAATCAGAGTTTCATTTGTTTCACTTGTGGCCTGAAGAAACTCAAAGAATGAGGGAATTGTGCTGAACTGCAGCAAAACCTCCCATTTTCCCACACAGGTCCAGGGATGAGCAGAGCCTGCAGACACATGCCCAGGAGGAGCTACTTGTCCTAAGGAAGGTGAGCAAGGCACTCACCAGCTGAACTTTCCCCATCTGGTTTGGGTTTTTGGGTGGTTGTGGTAGCTTCTTTCCCCAAGGCAGCACAGGAAACAAGTACAAGCAGAAGCTGGGTTTGCTCAAACTCCAGTCAGACCCCAGATCCCAGGAGCCAGAGCACGGTCATCACACTGACCCTGAGGGCAGGCCCAAGTCTGCTCTCCCTCCTCAAATTCCTCTTTCCATCCCCAAAGCATCTCCAGAACACAGAGTTCTCTTGGCCAAAGCCGAGCTGGAAGCCAAGGTGGAAGGGCTGAAAGAAGAGGGTGGATACCAAGCTGGATATCAGGAAAGGTTCTTCCACAGAGGATGGTGGGGCTCTGAACAGGCCCCCCAGGGAATGGTCACAGCCCCAAGGCTGCCAGAGCTCCAGGAATGTTTGGACCATGGCCTTGGGCACAGGGTGGGATTTTGAGGAGCCTGTGCAGTGCCAGGGTATCGCCGACCAGGGCCTGTGTACAAATCACAAACGGGACGGGACTGCTGAGGAACTGCCTTGAGCTGTTTTATTTTCCAGCATCAGTCTCATTACATGGTGATGACAATGGGAAGACACCAGCAGCTCACATCCCCAGCAGGAGACAAACAACTTAATGTTACAACTCACTTTATAAGCTTTTTGACCAATCACACAAGGCAAAAGCACATTGACAGTAGTTCTATCCAATCACTATAAGTGCACGTACCTGTGGTTAAAACAATGCTTGCTTATTTCAAATACAATACCTGCTTGTAAGCAATAACACAATGCACAGAGCTCCATTATTAAGCTGAGAACATCCTAATATCTCGCTAGATAAACTTTTCTGTAGCTTAGGGAGTTATTCTAGACAAGCGCTAATACACAGACCATTGTTCTATTTGCCCTTACTTTCTATTTTTTACATAATTTTTCTGCTGACCTATCTCATGGCCACTGCTTAGCTCCAATCACAGTTCTGCTGTCTCTGAGCCTGCCTTCTGCAGCTTTCCCAAACCCCTCACCAGGGGTTGGACTGGATGATCCCTGTGGGTTTTTTCCCAGGTATCCCATGGCAATGTGCTGATGCCCTGGATGTGTTCCTGCTCTTGGCCCATCCAGCAGAGTTTCCCAATTCTTGAGAACGTTCTACAGAGAGGTTAGAGGCTTCCCCAGGGCTGCAGCAGTAATTCCCATTTCCCAGCTGGATTTAGAAGCTGGTTATCGGGGGGAGCAGGGCATGGCCCAGGGCTCACGGTGTTTCATTGTGAAATGGTCACCATAAAGGGGACCCAGCTGGACACCGGGAGTGGCACCAGTCTGGGGCTGCACTGGGAGCACAGCAGGCACAGGCCCTGTTGTAGAGAGCTTTTTGGATAATTGGTTAGCTGAGAAAGGACATTTCGATGTGATACCAATGGATAAGGATAGGGGATACAAGCTGGGAACTGAGTAACCAGTGTCCAATCACTGACAAAGGTCACTGTGACCTTCTCTGAAACGGGAAGATGGGGGAGAAAATCGCTTGCCAGAAAATGTAGATATCTTAGGTAGAGAAGTTAGAAGAATGCAAACATAGAAGCAAAACAATTGTTAGAAGATAGAAGTAGGTGTGGTTGATCTAAGTGTGCTTTAACCAATAATGAGCTCAGCTTTTGCAATATGTATAAGCTTCATTAACACCAATATAAATATGTGTGAGTTTTCAATAAACTTCAAGATTTGCTATTCACGCATATGGTGTGTCGCATTTCTCCCGCCGTTCATGACACCCTGTCCCCACCAGAGCTCCACTGGCTGCAGGCCCCAGACACTTGTGTGAGGGTCAGCAGCCCAAACCCACACCTGAATGGAGCCATCGAGGGAGTCAGGGCTGGGCACAGGGACATTGTCTGCAGGAGCTGGGCACGAGCCCAGGCCTGGCAGCAAAACAAAGTGAGAGCACCTGGAAAGGGTGGGGTGGGGCCCAGCTCTCTTCAGGCCAACTTCAACCCCACAGAAACACCCCCCACCTCCCTGATCTGCTCTGGTTTAACTCAAGATGTGTTTGGGGATATGCAACGACACCTTTTGAGCTGTCTATGGGACATGGAACAGCCTTAAGTAGAGGAAGATTTAGATAGGATATTGGGATGAAATTCCTTCCTGTGAGGGTGGGGAGGGACTGGAATGGATTTCCCAGAGCAGCTGTGGCTGCCCCTGGATCCCTGGAAGTGCCCAAGGCCAGGTTGGACAGGGCTTGGAGCACCTGGGACAGTGGGACGTGTCCCTGCCATGGCACGGGTGGCACTGGATGAGCTTCCAACACAAACCATTCCATGGCTGTGATTTTAGCTGGAGGAGATGAGAGTCACTGCAGGCAGCAACCTGGGGCAGCTGGGCTGGCACAGAGACTGGAGGGGGAAATCAGGAGCACCAGGGCTGGGTGAGAAATTGTGAGCACCAAGGACCAAGTGAGAAGTTGGGAACACAATGGGCCAGGTGAGCACAGCCACGTGTGGGAATTTCTGCAGGGAGGGCAGATTTGCTGCTCCTGAGAATTCCACAGCCACCTTTCCTGATACTGGAGCAATTTGTAATCCAGGAGGAAGAAGGGCTAAAATCCCACTCTTCCCTCCCATTAAAACCAGATTCCATCTCAGTCCTGAGCTCAAACCATGACTCTGAACAAACTCCCCCCATCCCTCTGCCCAGACTCCAGGCTGGCAAAATCCAGCCAGGACTGAGCTGTGCAGGCAGCAAACCCCAAACCCTGCCCCCAGAGCCAGGGCAGGCTCCAGACCTGCAGGAAGGCGATTCCTGCGTATTTTCCAGAGCTCCTGAGCACCCAGGGCAGCACAAAGAACTTGGCTGAGACTGGACATGCAGCTAAAAGGGAAACTTTAATAAACGACTCATGAAAGACATAAAAAGCATAAAAATCCAACCCAAACCCCAATGCCAGGACAGGGCTGAACATCAGCACAAAAACTGGGAGCAGGTCCTCGGAGTTAGGTCCCTAAAAACTCTTCCTACTGCAGTAACAACAATTTCCCTGGTATGTTGAAGACCCATTTTGGCAGGAACGAGGAGTTTTTGGAATAGGGCATCAACTGAACCTTTACTGCAGGAGACTCCAGATATCACTAAATACCCTTAAATAGGGAGTGGTAAACAGAGACACCGAAAAATAGGGATTTTTTCTCCCAATTCAGTGGACACATGGAATTTGAAGTAGCTTTAGATCCCTCAAGCTTTGGGCTTCATTTACAGAGAGAGAAAGGGTTTAGGAGGTTCTTGAGGAGTTATTTTGCTACAAGGAGCCTGAAATCACTTTGTCAGTGCTGCCTTTGGTCAGAAACAGCTTCAGTCACAGGAGAATGCTGAACCCCAACCCTGAGCCCATTTCCAAAGAGAATAAGGGGAGACCCAAGCCTGTTTTCTTCCTGGTATATTTAAAAAACCCAAGCCAGGGTAAGCCCTCGGCAGGGGCTGAGGAGCCTGAGGGATTGGAGTCTTCCAAATCCTGTTAGAAGGGATTTAGAATCTTCTGGTCTTTTGCAGAAGCACAGCAGAAATGTGGGATTTGCCTTTCCAAGGGTGAAACCCAGCCCGGAGCAGGGGGTACCAAGCACAAGGGTAACAGCAGGGATACCCCACCTGCATCCCGGGGTAAATTTCACCCCACAGGCTTGATCCTGCTCCCAGAGGAATGGCTGAACTCCAAGAGTGCAGGATCAAGCCCCAGCAGGGCAGGGGCAGGGCCTCAGCACTGCAGGCGTTTTGCAGCCAATTCATCCTGCAAAAGGCTCCAAGACTTTTCTTTCCACGGTTTCCCTCAGGTGCTGGGAATGCTGAGCTCCATTCTTGGAGTTACTTCCTGACGCTCCTCCGGCTGGACGAGGTGGTGGTGATGGTGTAGGACTTGGAGGAGCCCCCAGAGGAGAAGCCGAGGGCTCCGCTGCCCATTCCTGATCCCAGGCTGAGGCCTCCTCCGATCCCTGCTCCCAGGAACCCGCTGGAGCTGGAATATCCGCCCCCGCCGCTGGAGCTGACCACGGCTGCGTGGGAGAGGAGCAACGTGAGCACCTGGAACCCCCACCCAGCACCCTCAGGAAAGGCTCCCATGGGATCATGGAATGGGCTGGGTGGGAAGAACATTAAATCCCATCCAGCACCCCCCCTGCCATGGCAGGGACACCTCCCACTGTCCCAGGCTGCTCCAAGCCCTGTCCAGCCTGGCCTTGGGCACTGCCAGGGATCCAGGGGCATCTTCTTGGAAATCCATTCCAGGGCTCTCCCACCCTCACAGGTGGGGAATATCCCAATATTCCCATCTAAATCCCATCCCATCTATTCCCTTCCCAATATCCCATCTAAACCTCCCCTTTTTCAGTTTAAAGTCTTTCCTTCTTGTCACTCCAACACCCAACCTGGCTCAGGATCCCCTGAGCTTGGAGCCCTCAGGGAGAACCCCTAGAAAATCCATGGAGAATCCCATTTCACAAACACACTCAGCTCATCTCCTGGTGCCCCAAAGCTGTGGGAATGTGGTTCCCCAATTCCCAGCAGGAATTAAGTGGCTGAAAATCAGAGCCACTCGTTTGGAGCATCCCTGAGAGAGCAGCTCCTGCCCAAGGTCCAGGCCAGGTGAGGATCCAACACTTCCCAAACTGGAAAAACGCCCTCTGCCATCACCTGTGCATTAATTCCCAACCCAGGGAATGCATTTCCCATTAGTGCTTTTCTATCCACACAAAAATGGGAGGAAAGGAAGATCACTGCTGCCCCAAGTCCAATTTCATCTGGGTGAGTTGGAGCTGAGCTTGGGATGGAGCCCCAGCACCACCCCCAGCCTCAGGGTGCTCCCACTAAGGAGGGGCTGAACTGGGTGCACTGGGACACTCTGGGCCCCCTTTTCCACGGGTTTAGAGTGAGGTGGAACCACAAGAAACAACAAAATCCACTCACAGATGTTGACGTTGCCAACTCCATCGCCAGCCAACCTGAAAAGACAAAGGCAAGGGGAGGGATTAAACTCAGCTTTCCTTGGTCCTGGGCTCGAGGAGGAGGAGGACAGAGGCAGGGAGTTACTACTCCAGCTGTACCTGATCCAGGGAGGATCCCTGGGCCCTCCAGGGATCCCTTTGTTCCAGCCCTGCCTTTCCCAGCTCTGTTATCACCATTGGGGGGAGGACAGAGCACAGAGGTTCTGTCCTAATCCCGCAGGGATTTCCACTTGGAAATGTTCTGCCACAACATCAAACTTGATGGAAACCAATTTTTTCCTTCTTTGCTTATTTTCCCCAGTTTTTTTTTCCCAGAATCTGCCAGTTTGGCTCTTCAGCCAAAGCATTTCCAGGACCAGAACTCAGTTTTTCAAAGGTTTCCTTGTCTGCATTTCCTTGTGGAAATCAGAGTTGGGCTCTCACAGTGTTCCCAGACAAAGGGAGCAAAGGGCTCCCAGGACCCTTCCCAGAGGGACCCCAGGGAATCTTTGCTCACCAATCCCCCCACGTGTCCTCACCTGCTCTCCTCGCCCTCCAGCAGCTTCCTGTAGGTCGCAATCTCGATGTCCAGGGCCAGCTTGACGTTCATGAGCTCCTGGTACTCCCGGAGCTGCCGGGCCATGTCAGCCTTGGCTTTCTGCAGAGCAGCCTCCAGCTCCTCCAGCTTGGCCCTGGCGTCCTTGAGGGCCATCTCCCCACGCTCCTCAGCCTCAGCCACGGCCGCCTCCAGCTTCGCTCGCTGCAGGGACAGAGCGGCCACATCAGGGGGCTCCTGATCCTGGAGGAGGATCCTGGGCTCCAAACCTCGGGCTCTGCTGCCCAGACCCCCTTTGTGGATCTGGAGCTCAATTGGACCCCTGGGACTTCATCCCTGCCTTGGGTTTCTTGGGCACTGGATGGAGATGGAAACTCATCTCCTTCCAAGGACTCCCAGAAGAAGACTGAGTTTCTCTCCACTGACTATACTTTTTTCAGGTGATCCTAAGCTTCCCAGTCCCCCACATCCCACAGATCCCTTGGGGCTCAGGAAAGCTCAGGTTTTCCCTGCTAATTTTCCCCAGATTTTTCAGAGCTGGGCAGGCTCTGGCTGAGGTGTGGGCAGGACTGGAGCACACCTGGAGCTACCAAACACCCAGACCCACCCCAAGACCAGCCCTGTGGGGCCCCAGAGAACCCCCAGCTGTGCCCCCACAGCTCCCAAACCCCCATGTTTGGCACAAAGGGCTCACAAGAGGCTTTGTGCTCCCATCCTTTGTCCAAGGGAGCCCCACCAGAACAGCTCTTGGCTGGTGCCAGAGCCTCCCTACCCTGAAACCAAATAATCCGGGATGAATCACCAGGTTTATCTGGAGCCTTGGGAGCTCCAGACCAGGCCTAAGTCACGGCACTGATAAAGTGATAAGAGCCAGTGAAAGCAAACAGAGCTCCCCAAATCTCTGTGTGTGTGCCCAAACATGGTGTTCCCTGCTGTGAAAGGGAGTGGACAATGATCCCAGCAACAGGAGGCCACGAGGGCTGTGTGGGGGCCTCTCTGTGTCCCAGGGGTGATTTCCACTCATCCTCTCTCAAATCCACCTTCCTGGCAGGATCACCCTGCTCCCAACGCTCCCCCTCCCCCTGCAGAACTAAAATCCTCCAGGATGAGCAGTGCAGCCCTCCCAGAATGATTCTTACAGACCATGGAATTGTGAAGGTTGGAAAAGATCTCCAAAATCACAAAGTTCAAGGGGTTGTGTGACACCCAGACCCCTGAAACATCCTTAACATCACAGAATGTTAGGAGAGAGCTAACATTCCCTCCCATCCAGAGCTGGAAGGGACCCACAAGGACCATCATGGCTCAGCACATGACAACCCTAAAAATCCCACTAACCCTAAAATTCAACACTTGAGAGTGTTGTCCAAAGGTTCCTGGAGCTCTGGCAGCCTTGGGGCTGTGACCATTCCCTGGGGAGCCCCTGTCCAGTGCCAGACATCCTCTGGGGGAAGAAGCTTCTCCCAATATCCAAACTGACCCTCCCCAGACCCAGCTCCAGCTGCTCCCTCAGTGCTGTCCCCAGAGGGATCAGAGCCAGATCCCAGCTCCGAGGCCAGAGAAGGACAGGAGAGGGGCAGCTCCTCACCTGGGCCTTGGCACTCTCGATCTCCCCCTGGATCCTCTGGATGACCCTGTTGATCTCGGTGATCTCATTCTTGGTGTTCCTCAGGTCGTCCCCGTGTTTCCCGGCTGTCACCTGCAGTGCCTCATACTGGGACAGAGCAGTGGGACACAGAGTGATGGGGTGAGAATGGCAGGGAATGAGCAGGATAGAGCCCCCCCCATGGCACAGGGGATACAGGTACTGACAGAGCTGGAGATCGTGGAATCTGGGAATGGTTTGGCTTGGAAGGGACACTAAAGCCCATTCAGTGCCACGGGCAGGGACACCTTCCACTGGGCCAGGGCACTCCAAGCCCCATCCAACCTGGCCTGGGACACTTCCAGGGATGGGGCAGCCACAGCTGCTCTGGGAAATCCATTCCAGGGCTCCCCCACCCTCACAGGGAGGAATTCCTTCCCAATATCCCACCTATCCCCGCCCTTTCGCACAGGGAAGCCATTCCCTGTGTCCCATCACTTCAGGCCCTCTCCAGCTCTCCTGGAGCCCCTTTGGGCACTGGAAGGGCTCCAAGGTGTCCCTGGGTCCTGCTCCCCTGGCAGAGCTCACCTTGCTCTGGTACCAGGACTCGGCCTCGGCACGGCTGCGGTTGGCGATCTCCTCGTACTGCGCCTTCACCTCGGCGATGATGCTGTCCAGGTCCAGGTTCCGGCTGTTGTCCATGGACAGCACCACCGAGGTGTCGGAGATCTGGGCCTGCAGCTCGTTCAGCTCCTGCAGGAAAACCAAGCCCGTTCATCAGCGAGGTTTCAGGGACCCTCTTTTGAAAGCCAATTAAAGAGAGAATCCAAGGAGAGAAGGGAAAGGGAGGCAGGTAAGAATTCCATCAAAATAATTATTAATGAGGAGGGAAGCAACCTTGCAAAGCACAGAGCAAGAAGCAACAGCAGAGCTGGAGCTGTTTATCCCTACTTTGGCAGCAGGGCTGTTTATCCCACTGTTATCCCATTCCTTAGACAACAACCCAGCTAGCTGCAGAACCTGCAGGGGCCAAATTTCAGCACCTCTCTCAAGGACTTGTGTCCAGCTCAGGTAATCCCTGCTCTTGCAAACAATGGGGAGGAGGAAGGAGCCTGGAACAAGCAGCTTTCCTTCATTCCTGTCACACAGCACCACCTCCCCCAGGGAGTCGTTCTCCTTGTTTTCATTCAAACAGCATCCCAAATACAACGTCTGCAATCCATCCATCCCACATCCCACACAGGGAGAAATCCGTGTGACAATCCACAGAACTCAGAGGAATCACTTCACTTGCAGACACAGTTTTGCTTATGGAAGGAGAGACTCCATGAATCCATCACCTTCCCCATGTTCATTTTCCCAGCCAGCATTCCCTGTTCTCCCTCTCTGAAGGAGCAGAAGGATCCTCACCGCCTCATGGAAAGCCCTCAGGAAGTTGATCTCATCTGTCAGAGCATCCACCTTGGCCTCCAGCTCCACTTTGTTCATGTAGGCAGCATCCACATCCTGGAAAAATGAGGAATAAACCATGGAGATTGTGGAGCTTTGATGTCTGAGCTCACCCAGCCTCTGGTGGCTTCCAAAGGAGTTCCCCAAACCAGCTCCAGGTGTCCCAGTGGCACCCCAGGGCCTACAAATCATCTCCCAGGGCACTGAGTGCTGCTGGAGTGCAGATCCTGAGAGTCCTGGGGATCCCTTGGATCCCTGTTTGCAAGGTCAGTGTCAGGTTGGACACAGACACCTCAGGAAAGATCCCAAAGAAAGACCTGGCATCATCTCCAATACCCCTGGGACCTGACACCTCTCCCCTGCACGTGTGGAGACCTCAAGGTCCCCCCTGAGCTGCCTTTGGCTGGAATTCTGCCCCTCAGAGCTGGAGTAAACTGTGAGTAGGGGCAAACACAGGGAAGGGCTGCCCACACTGATGATCAGTCCCAGGGAAGAGCCGTGCCTGCCCCATGCCTGGAAGTGTCCAAAGCTGGATGGGGCTTGGAGCACCCTGGGCCCATGGGAGGTGTCCCTGCCCATGGCAGGGGTGGGAATGGGATGGATTTTAAGGTCCCTTCCCACCCAACCCATGTGAGGATTCCCTGACCCACGATGATATTCACCTTCTTGAGCACCACAAACTCATTCTCGGCCGCCGTGCGCTTGTTGATCTCATCTTCGTACCTGCCAAAAAAAAGGGATTTCTGTGAAGTTAGAGCCTGGATAAAAGGAAAAACGCCCCAGTGAAAGGTTGTCCCAGTTCTCTTCTCTATCCCTTCATTTCTTGGGAGCCAGCCCAGCACTTCCCCAGGGCTGGTGCACCAGCGGTGTCTGCTCTGGATGAGCTGCTCCATCACCACCACCTGAAACCGTCCCCTCCCGGCTCCCCCATAATCCTTAAAATCCCCTGTGCTCCAGAAGATTCCTGCTCCTCCTTTGGGGAGGGCCCAGGCTGTGCCCCCACTTTGTCACCAACCCTTCAGGGAGCAAATTCAAAGCAGGAGAGACACAAACAGATCCCACAAACTCCTCTGGGCTGATCCCAGCACTTGCTGGAGCTGCTTCCACACTGCACTTCCCTACTCCAGACTGCTGGCAACACTTTGCAGGTGTTGAACACGTGGCACTGTTCTGGGAAGAGCCAAAGGTAATTAATTACCCTCATTCTCCTCCAAAGCTCACCAAATTCCAGCCTTGGTGACTGCTGTTCTTCAGGTGTTCACCCTCAGATGAGGGGCTCACCTGGAAATCCCCAGGGGTTCTCCTAAAGGTCTCCAGCAGATAAAAATCCCTCTCCACAGATTTTAACAGGACCACCACTGATTTTCAAACCTGGATCTTGGAGCCCACCTGGACCTGCCTGTGCACTCCCAACCTGCTCAAACATCCAGCCCCAACCTGCTCTGGGCATCTGGGAATCCTGAAAGCCATCCAAGGAACAGAGCAGGAAGCACTTTGGCTGTTTGGGAACTGTTGCCAGGTTAAGGCTCTTTATTTACATGGGCCCTGCATGGCCAGAGCTGGAATTTGCCTTCCAAAGCAGGAGCTGCTTCACCTGCCCAGCCTCCCCCTCCTGCTCCAGCCTGGAATGGTGCCCATCCACACCAGGATCAATGGACGTTGCCCCTCTGGAGGTCACTGAGCTGCCAGTACAATTCCAGAGGAATAAATCCTGGGAAGTGACGCAGAGGCACCACCTCTGCACGCCGGGGATCAGCAGAGAAAGGTATAAAAACAGTGAATTCCTCCAGAATGGATCATCAATTCCTCCTCTCCTTGGGGCAGCTCCACCAAGCTGGTCAATGAGCTGGTAAAGCATGGAATCTTGGGATGATTTGGGTTTGTAGAGACCATAAAGCCCATCCCATTCCCACCCCTGCCACAACAGGGACACCTTCGGCTATCCCAGGCGCCTCCAAGCCCTGTCCAACCTGGCCTTGGGCACTGCCAGGGATGGGGCAGCCACAGCTGCTCTGGGAAATCCATTCCAGGGCCTGCCCACCCCCACAGGGAGGAATTTCTCCCTAAATTGCTCAATTGTGTTTATTGTCCTAACACCCCTCTGAAAGCCCAGGACACTCCTTGGAAGCAAGCCCCAAGTGCAGCATGGCCTCAGCTGGCTCCACACCCTCTCCCACTGCAATTCCTGAGTTAGGGGCTGGTGTCATCTCTGGAGCCGTTCCTCCCCTAAATATCACCTGGGAATTCCTGTGGAAACCAAACCTATGGAAAAAAAGGCCACAGGCACCCCCAGAGCACAGCATGGTTTAGGTTTTCCATCTATAATTGAGATTTTCTCCATATAAACGGGGAGCAGCAGGTGCTGCACTCCAGTTACTGCATCCTCACTCCCTCAGCTCCTAATTCCTGCTTCCCTTCCATTAGCACACAGAGGGTTTGGCTTTCCATGGATCTGTAGCCTAAAGGAATAAATCCATGAGAATAGGACTGGATCCATGGGAAATGTAAGTAAACTTTGGGGTTTAATCCCTCTGGCTTCAAACCAGCTCCTTGCAGAGATTCCAAGGCTGACTGTGGATGGAATAACCAGGCAGGGCTGGGGGCAGCATCATTCCCAAGCAGCTCTTTGGGAATCTCTGGGTATTGACCCTCCCTAAACACACCCTGGGGATTATCAGCTCTGTTTGTTTGCAGTTCCTGCCTGATCCAGTTTGCCAGCTCCGTCCTATTCTTCCCTTTTCAGAGGCATTTCCCGGCTGGGCTGGGCTGGGACAAAGGCCACCTTTCTTCTGGGGCTCCTCCCAGGTGACACTGAAAAGTCACTGAAGAATTGCAGGGCAGCTGCTCCATTCCCTGCCCAGGGATTCAGCTGGGAGCTCCTGGGGCTCCAGCCACCCCAAAGAGCCACTTCTGACCCTGAGGAGGCCCCAAAGCACCACCTCCAACCCAGGGAGACCCCAGAATGTCACCTTCAGCCCTGAGGATGCCCCAAAATGCCCCCAAAATGCCACTTCCAAGCCAGAGCAAAGCCAAGAGGATGCAGGCACCAGCCCATGTAGGAACAAGGTGCCAGAAACAGCGAACAAAAAGAATCCAGGAAGCTTTCCTAGACTAAACACCTCATTCCAGGCCAGAAAACATCTCCACCCCGTCAGGAGAGCTGGGGACATCTGTGCCCAGCTAAACACCTGGACTGAACACCTCATTCCAGGCCAGAAAACATCTCCCCCCTGGCAGGAGAGCCGGGGACATCTGTGCCCAGCCATTGGCCCAGCCAGCAGCTCCACCACCCCGTTAGGGGAACACTGATACTTTACTTGGTCTTGAAGTCCTCCACGAGGTCCTGCATGTTCTTGAGCTCTCCCTCGAGGCGGCCCTTGTCGGCCAGGAGCCCGTCCAGCTGCCGCCGCAGGTTGCTGATGTAGGTCTCAAACATGGGAGCGATGTTGCTCCGCGTCGTCTTCTGCTCCTGGAGTAGGCTCCACTTGGTCTCCAGCATCTTGTTCTGCTGCTCCAGGAACCGCACCTGGGAGGGAGCACAGGGGTCATTTGGGATGGTGGGAGAGAGGGGAGCTGGCACTGCAGGGCATGGAAGGGCTGGGCTGCAGGTGGGAATCCCAGCCCAGGAATTTGGGTGGTCATGGGAAGCACCAGAGGAGGGTCATGGAGACCATGCTGAGGAGCTTGGCAGCTCTGGGACCTGGTTTGTGACTTTGAGGCTTTGGAGGAATTAAAGAAAAGCAGATTCTGCTGGGCTGACACTTGACAGAAACCTGACCCAGACATCAAACCCTCCAATTGCTCCAACTCCAGGGCTGGATTCCTCACATTTCGGGGATTCCAGAGCGGGATTTACACAAGGTTAGTTAGTGCAAGAGAGCCAAGATGTGCAGGGCAGCATGAACACCCAGGGCAGGTTCTGGTTCCAGCTGCTCTCCAGGGACAGTCTCTGGTTCCATCTGCTCTCCTGGGACAACTCCCTCCAGGAACCTCTCCCTCCCCACATTTGGGCAATCCCAGGTAAATCAGGGCTGCAAAGGCAGCCTGGACAAGGCGACCTGCTCTGTTGGCAATGCCAGCAGGGCTTTATTACATCGAATAATAAGAATTATTTGATTGCAGTGGGCAAAACCTACCACGTTCTCCAGGGCTGATCCTCACCCCATTCGTGGCCAAACCAATTTTGGGTCCCACCAACTGCTCGGCACCCCCAGAGCTCCGAGCCAGCCCGAGCCCTCACCTTGTCAATGAAGGAGGCGAATTTGTTGTTCAGGGTCTTGATCTGCTCCTTCTCCTCCTTGCGGACCCTCTGGATGCTGGGGTCGATCTCCAGGTTGAGGGGCGTCAGGAGGCTCTGGTTGACGGTGACCTCCTGGATGCCGCCGGGGCTGAGGCTGCCCCCGAAGGCGGCTCCCCCATAGCCGTAGCCCGAGCGGACGCTGTAGGAGCTGCTCCCTGCCAGGCTGACCCTCTTGCCGGCCGAGCCCAGGCTGTAGAGGCTGGCGCTGCCGAAGCCGCCGGCGCGGCCGAGCCCGGAGCTGCGGCCGGAGGACACGGAGCTGACCCGCACCTGGCTCAGCGCGGGCCCGGCGGCCGAGCGGGAGCTGAAGGTCACCGAGCGGGACATGCTGCTCCGAGGGACGGTGCGGGGCTGCCTCGCTGCTCTTGCAAAGCTCGAGAGGCTGCGCTGGAGCCCAGCAGAGTGAGAGCGCTCCCGCTGCCTGCCCTTTTATCCGTTAGAAAAGCTGGGCTTGGCCCAAGGGCACCGCGGGGATCATTTTACGGCTCGGAGCTGGGTGTGCCTGGCTGCATTCCCACCCTCCAGCGCAGGAGGGAAGGGCCGCGGGGAAGGGACAGGACACACCTGGCGCCTGTCCCCGCTCCGCTCCTCCGCCACCTGCGTGTGCGCTGAGCCCCAGCCCTGCTCCCGACCCTGCTGGGAGGATTCCCCGGCCCGGCCGGTGCTGCCATGGCCGGGGGGACACAGGGGATACACATTGGGAAGGATTTGAAGTGCTGCAGGCGGGTTCTCCCCCGGGCACGGCCCAAAGCTGATAAAGGGGCCCCTGCGCCAGGTCCTGGCTGTTTAATATAAACCAGGGCATTGCCAGCAGTACCCAGAGCCTGCCTGCCCAGGGGGATATGTTTGTCCTTCCCTCTCCTGCTAATAAATCCTTCCCTCTCCCTCAAATAAATCCTTAAAACCGAGATGGGTTAGGAGAGTTGCATCCCACCCAACATTTAGTCCACACTCAAAAGGAGACAGGATTAAAATCCTGGCTGAACATTCTGGGTCCCTGCTTGAATTTTTGGAGTTCTATGAAGAAAAAGCAGAGAAAAAAAAATGGGTTTCAGGGTTTTCACCGTTTCCAAATAGTCCCAGAGGGCCTCAACCCTTCACTATCAGATCGTAAATTCCCCAGGAGATTTCAAAGTTTGGCCTGAAAGTGTCACCCTTCAGCTTTTCTGTCCCCAGGACAGGGAGATAAGGCTGGATGCAAACTCAGCCTGCTCAAAATCCACCCGTCCTGCTCTGGGGGGTGAGGAGAAGCCTGGCTGCTGCAGGGAAATTCTCTTTTTAAAGAGAGAAAAGGGGAAATTCGATCCAGGAAGAGAGAGATGGGGCAGGATTCCTGCCAGCCCTGCACCTGGCTTGGCTCCCACCATCACAGGTTGGCCTCGATGATCTCAGAGGTCTTTTCCAGCCTAATTGATCCTGGGATTACAAAAAAAAAAATCCATTGAGTGTAAACGAAGTGGATGTAACAGACATGCCCTGCAGCTCCCCTGGGGCTGGAGGACAGGACAGGGATCCATCCATCCATCCATCCATCCATCCATCCATCCATCCATGCACAGCTGGGAACAGGGCAGTGTCAGCCTCGCCCAGCCAGGCTGGAACAGTGCTGGGATGTCCTGAGAAGGCAGGGCTGGAAGCTGAGTGTGGGATTGACAGTCAGGCAAGAATTCCCACCCTGGTCTGGCTGTTAGCAGGCTGGATTCCAGCCTGGATCACCACACAGGGACTTCTACACAACACGAGAGGCACAGGAGGAGCAATCCAGGCAGGTGAATCCCAACCTTTGGCCACAAAGGCAAAGCTGCTCCCAGCAGCCTCCAGTTTGGCACTGGGGAGCTGGACTTCAGCCTGGATTTGGGTGAGGGTGAGCCCATCTTCAGCCCAGCTCCCACCCTCCTTCCCTGCACCACGAGCAGTCCAGGTGGGAGCAGGAGCCTCATCCCCTGCTTGCTGCTCCCAGTTTTGCTCCCTTCCCCCCCTGCCCGGTCGATATTCCCCGTCTGAGCCAGGTTGGAGCCACGTGGACACCAGAGGTATCCCAGGGTTTGTTGTGTTGTGGTTCCATGGCAACCTGGGGTTGTTCCACAACTGCTCCGACCGGTAAATTCCTGCAGCCCTAGTGAGTGACCCCAGGGACTGGGGTTTGGTGACACTGAGCTCACTATTGGCTTTTTGGGGGAGTGATTTCCCTGCCTGCCATGCTGGGAGTCGCATTCCCCCTGGCCCTGCACACCCAGGACTAGCTCCAATGCTCCCAGAGCAGCCAAACCCCCACAAACAACCGACCCTTCCACAAACCCTTGGGAAAACAAGCCAGGCTCGCAATTCCAGCTGCAAAGTGCCAAAAAAAAATTAACAAACTCAAATATTGTAATGGAAGAGGAAAACCTTTGCAGGTGAGTGAAATTATGTGTTGGGAGTGTGTTCTTGTGGGTTCACCTCCTGTGTTATCCCAGGGGATCCCTCCTGCTGCCTGCCTGGATTTCTGTGTTTGGATTGAAAGCTTTTGGAAGAAGGAGCATCCATAGGTTCTGTTTGCACAGGCCCTGCTGGTGGTTCCTGATCTAAAGGGCTCTGGCCCTGGATCCCACATCTATTGTTCCAACACCTCCCAATGCCTGTGTGGGCTTGTGGCTGGGGGATGGATTTGGGATATTGGGATCAATCTCCGGGCTCAGGAGCAGGAGGCTCTGGGGGATGGGAACCTCCAGGACAGGACTGTCAGAATCCCAGGATCACTGAGGCTGGAAATTCCCTCCCAGATCATGGAGTCCAAGCTGTGACCAATCCCCACCAGAGCCCTGAGTGCCACATTGTTTGGATACCTTGAGGGATGGGGACTCCACCACAGGAGTGCCTGACCAGCCTCTCCCTGGAAAAATTCCTCATGACATCCCAAGAAATTCTCCTGACGTCCAATGGCACTGCCAAGCTCTTATTCCTGCTAAACCCACCCAAAATCAATGGGAACACAACAGCACCTTTCCCAAGATCCTGAAGATCTCCCCTCACTGTGAACCCAGATCCCCTTCCAGGATCAAAGCAGCCTCATTAACCAAAATTTCCAGCTGATCATAATTCCTGTGAGCAGAGACTGGTCAGAGGGAACTTGTTCTCCGGCATCCCAAAGGCAGGTGTTGGATGTCACCAGGCAGGAGTTGGCCTCGATGATCCTGGGGATCCAGCTCAGGATATTCCACAACTGGAGGATTATCAGGATGAGGTTTATCAGGTTCATCAGGATTTTATGGATTCCAGACCCATTTCCTGTCTCACTGGGCCATAAAGTCAATGGAATGACGCAGCTCCAGCCCAGAGCCTGGTGACAGGGAGTGCCCTTTCCAGCCTGGCAACAGCTGCTGATCCACAGGGATGGTCTGTTCCAAAGGTTGGTGCCTCCCTCCTGGCAGCACTCAGGCCCTGTGTCCCATTGGATGTCCTTTAAATGCTGCCTGCTTTCATTTTCTGCCCCTGCCCAAGCACTGCAGGGTTTCCCCCATTGATGGGAATCATGGAATGGTTTGGGTTGGAAGGGACCCCAGGGTTTATCCAGTGCAATCCCCTGGCCTGGACAGGGACACCTTCCACCATTCCAGTCACAGCCTCCAGCTTTATCCCACACAAATGGAATGGGCCAAAATCCTCACATTCCATGAAGTGGCTTTTCCAAGGACCTGAATTCCCTGCCATGGCTTCTCCCTGCTCCAGAGCCTTTGGCAGAGGCCAGTGGATTGTTCAGGCTGCAACTTCACATGGATTTACACATGGAGAGTGCATTTTCCTCCCCACTTTTCCAGCCCTGCACCGGGACAGGAATCAGGGCTTTGCCAAAGGCAGCCAGGTCTGGGCTCACCCAAACAGCTCCAAGGCTTCCAGGAGATCCTCATCCAGGCATTCCTCATCCAAGCATTCCTCATCCAGGCATTCCTCCCACTGCAACACAGCAAAACCCAAATATGAATTATCACAGGGACCAGTAGGAACAGAATCACACGATCATGGAATCATAGAATGGTTTGGGTGGGAAGGGTCCTTAAAGCTCATCCAGTGCCACCCCTGCCATGGGCAGGGACACCTCCCACTGTCCCAGGCTGCTCCAAGCCCTGTCCATCCTGGCCTTGGGCATTTCCAGGGATGGGACAGCCACAGCTGCTCTGGGAAATCCATTCCAAGGCCTCTCCATCCTCACAGGGAGGAAATTTTCCTAAATCATTCATCATTCTCCATGAGCCCCAAGGCCCCTCAGGTGCCCAGGGCACTGTCTCAGCTTTCTCGGGGTGACAGATCCAGCTCTGTGTTCCCAAGGCTTCCCACAAGCTCCTAATTCCCACCAGGAGCTGCATTTCACCTCTCCTCTGGCTCTGCCCACCCTGCTGAGGCTGGGAAGTTCTTGGCTCAGCTCTTGGCCACTCCTGGAAGCTGCTGGCCATGAAATCCATCCCCGGGAAACAGCTCTTGGAGCTCAGAGTTGCCCACACTTGTCCTGTTTGCTGCAACCCAAAAGGGCTATCAGCCAAAATCCTAAATGTTTGGATACAGCACAAAACCAGTCACCAGCACTGCCAGGAACTGGGACCAGGGGCAGGGCCCAGGGAGCAGCTGGAGCTGTGCCAGGGTGGGCCAGGTTGGGTATTGGGAAAGATTCCTCACCCAGAGGTGCTGGGCACTGCCCAGGCTCCCCAGGAATGGTCACGGCCCCGAGGCTGCCAGAGCTCCAGGAGCCTTTGGACAACGTGCTCAGGATTGGGATTTTGGGATTGGGGGGATTTTGGGGTGTCCTGTGCAGAGTCAGGAGTTGGAATCCTATGATCCATGAGGATCTCAGGCTTTTCCATGATTCCACAAACAGCTTGGACCCCCCCAAGTAGTTCCTCCTGCTGGAACCTCTCCCCCCAGCCCCTTCCAGGTGCTCAGTGCAGAGATGGGGCTGCCCTTCTCCCATGCATGGAGCCCCACATCCCTCCTGCCCTCTTTGCAGAGGAGCTTTTCCACCCCCACGGCTCTGCCAGGAGCTCCTGGACACACCAGGGAACCCAGCCCAGACCAGGATCCTCCCCAGGGATCCTTCCCAGGGATCCTTCCCAGGGATCCCTCCCAGGGATCCTCCCCAGGGATCCCTCCCAGGGACCTGGAGCGTGGCCTGACACATGGGGAAGGTGTCCCAGGTGTGGGAATCCTTAAAATCAGAGGGGTTTGGGAAAGCTGCAAAAGGCAGGCTCAGAGACAGCAGAACTGTGATTAGAGCTAAGCAGTGGCCATGAGATTTGTCCACAGAAAAATGATAGAAGAATTAGAAAAGTAAGGAGAAATAGAACAATGATCTGTGT